CTCACTGTCGCCTCCATTCTGCCCTGAAGACGCTCTTGCTCTCGCTTCCGGCAAGAAACCGCGTTCGGCTGCAAAGAAAACTTACAAATGTCCCCTTTTAATTGATTATATATATGTTTTCAAACAAACATAAAAAAAATATGTTGGATTGAATGCCAAACACATAATTTAGAAAGTGCATGACATCCTTTTTAAAGGATCAAAACTAGGACAATTTAAATTCCATATATTATTATTATTATTATTATTATTATTATTATTATATAGTATTTAAATGCAAGTTAAATAAGTCCAAGTTTCTTTTATTGTATCATTTCAACACTGACAGAGGTTAATGATTTAAAACTCACTCCCCATATAAATGAAAGACTCAAAAAGAAAATCCGGAACACTTTCAATCACTTTCTCTCTCGACTCATAGAGGGAGAAGGGAAGTGGCCTTCGGTGTGGATTTTGAGATTTTTGAAATCCAAAGTCAGAGTTTATGGGTTTCTGAAATTCAAGAACTTTGTTGGAAGTGTAAATATAACAAAAAAATAATCAGTTCATACGACAATTTCACTCTACCACCCAGTATAATCATCGATCTAAATAGGCCATTTTGATGGATGTTTTGTTTAGCTACGTACTTTGCATTACACCCTGTAGTGCTGGTGAAAATGAAAAATTCAAATATTTCAATGAATAAAATAGCTGCTGTAACCTTTTGTGAGGGATTTTCACTCTAACTCATGACTAAATGGACCTTCAGCTGCAGGCTGCAGGTGCCAGAGCTCAATCTGTAAAGCACCGGTCACTTTAGCCATTTGGTCCGTAGCAGAAGACTGGGCTGCTCCCAGCTGCCCGTTCAGGTGCCAAACAGGCAGAGCAGCCCTGGCTGTGGTACAAAGCGTCAGCAAAAACCAGCAGCTGCTGGCTGCCGGCAACCTGTTAAAAGTTGTTTTGTAATGAGACTGTCAGGTGCCAACTCCAGCTGGCCACATAAAGATGAGTAAGTGGAGCAGCTTGAGTGTTTTTAGTGTGAAGGAGGGTTTACAGACTAGTGGAATCAATGTACAGTAGTAGACATTAGCCAGCATGAGCATCTGAACAGTGCTCGACTTGGCCTAAAAACAGTGCCAGCATTTTAAACCGGCAGCCTGAAGGTCATGCTCCTTCAACTTTCATATTAATGACCATCCAGGGGGCTATTTATTTTAATATGGTCATTTGCAAACACTTTTTTTTTTTTTTTTCAAACGCTCTTCTGACTTCTACAAAAAAAAGTACATACCCCCATAAGGCCATATATGTTATGGGATGTGACATACAGTATGCCTATTTCATGGTATGGTATTGTATTCATGGATGATAATACATGCTGATAGGCCATTATATTTAATTGTTTACTTAAATCCTTAATTTGAACAGGAAGTCTCACTGAGATCAGGATCTCTTTTTCAAGAAAGACCTATCTACAAAATTAACATACAGTTTAAACAGACAGACACAGATAATTCACAGACATACATTATACATTTTAACATTTAAGAAAAACATGCAAATCTGATGGTAAATACATAAATACAACCTTTTAAAATCTTCCAGAGAAATAAGAGAATATAACTTCATATTTTTGTAGCTCATTAATTTGTATTTGAACCTAGTTTTTCAGTGTGAATGTTATGTCATGTGACCTGACATTGTAAGAATTAAATGTAACCAGAGAGCAGAAGTAACTATGCAGTTTTTGCATACAATATGGTTTGATAGAAGTTTTTTTTCCACAAGTAAATGAAAACAGTGTATATATTTTTATAGACAAGTCCCTGTCTATTTTTTATTTATTCATTTATCGTGTTAATTCTTTTAAATTACAACCCATACTAAGTCCAGAGCATCTCTGTGTCCAAAAACAGAAATGATGCCAGAAATACTGAATCCTTGTATTTTTCCCTAAATGATGGTCAAACTTTGAGATAATAACTCTGTAAAATGATGCCATGAATTGTATTGTTTATTTACAGGCGCCAGTGCAGTTACTATTGATAATGTAAAGACATTAGTTTCAATAAACAATTATGAAGCGGCAGAACAGATAAAAACATTTAGGTCACAACAGTTTACAGGGCAGTTCGAAAAGATGAGTAAACTGACTTCCTGCCCCCGTCTATTTCATCCCTGAATAGAGGGAACTTGTCGATGCAAACCACCTTAAAGTGAGTTAGACGGCCCACACCTCCCTCTGACTGACCCCGTCTGCTGTCTTAACATCAATACTGTTCTGTGATGGCAGACCATTTACTGACAAAAGACTTTGGAGGCGAGAGCAAAAGTCTGAGCTCCTATCCAGCAGCTGTCTGACAGAACTGAGACGCATATTGTATATCAGACAGTCGGAGAGCAGGCTCATATTTCTGCCGCGGCCCTGCGGCTTGTTTTGGCTGGAAAACAATCACTAATATCATGATACTTTAAAATAAAAAGTGATCTGTGTACCTGCATTCATTGGTGACACACAGATATCATAACAGTAAACGTGTTGGAAAAAATGGTATTGGGCCAGTTCAAGTATGATATAAGAAGTACATTAATCTATTAGTTGATTTATTTTATTTATTTGAAGTTATTTATCAAGCATAAATGTCAAACAATCTGTGTGAATATTGTCTGATTGTGTCTCTAAAGATTTGCCTGTTGTCTCTGTTTCATATCATTGTACAGTAAATTGAATATCTGGAATATTTTGTTGACTGTTAGAAGGACAATAAGACATGAACTTGTGTGCAGAGGCAGATATAGGTAATGTGTGTCCTTGATATCCCAGATGATCATAACTGAATCTTATATTTCGATATTTTAGTGTCTGAATTTGACCAAGTCAATTTGATCAACCAGATTTTTTGACTTGACTTGAACTTTTAGATCTAAACTGAAATAATTGAATTTGAATATAGATTTTGAATATTGGGTATATGCATTTTCTCTCTGTATTTTGACAAACCTAAAATATATTCAGTGCTATTTATTTTAGTTCTAAACATTCAGTGGTACTTAAATGTCAACATATTCAATAGTGATTACATTACAAAACTAGGTATGATTATAAAATTCAAATCTTTATGGCCATTATTTTCATATATTTCCTGTCTTTGAATGATGAATTAATCATTGATTAATTAATCAGATGTTCAGCAGCGGGAGCTCTGATTGGCTGGAGTATGGCCCTTCAAACACATTGATGAATCATTATTATATCACTATGTTTTAAATAAATCATTCTTAGATGATTATGCAAACCCTGGATTTTGTCCGATTCCAACATTTTTTCGTTTGTTACACCTTGCAAGGAGGAGGTGGTTTCAGTTAAATGGTCTTGTCTCATGCTTTAAGTCACTGTGGACTTTTTCTGTATTAAACCAAGTTTCCCTAACATGACCATAAACTGTTTAATTATGCTGTAGTCACCATGAAGAGATACATTATGCACCATATTTTATGCCTAAAGCAAATAACAGACTCTCATTAGACATTTTACTGACACATTCCATATCAACATTTTGTGACTTGCCAGATACAGTATATTGATCAACAACATTTCCCCAGTATGTTTCTAGAAAACATAATCCAGTCAGCATTACGTTTCCATTGAAACATATTTCCTTTAGCAAATTACAGTAGTTGTGTATAAATTTAAACTCTATTCGACAGGGTTTATTTTTTTTCTTATGATTAACTGTGAACCTGTTTTTCACAATTGTCTGGGTCAAACTTGCATGTAAATGTATATTCTATTGTGGGGAGAAAATGGAGCTTCGTAACAATCCTGCCAGGGAGTGTGTAGTATTCATGAGCTGTGTTTGGCTGCTATCGTGCCCCAGTCCATCCCTGGCTTTCAGAAACTGTGATGGACATTTTTCACTATTTCCTGACACTTTGTATTTCTTGGGCGTGTGTTTGTTGTAGTCAAGATTAGGGTGAACACCTGGTTGTGTTTAAACCCTCCTTATTCCTACACCAGCTTCACTGGCAGTTACTCATCCTCTGCCAGACTTACATTCAAATAATTGTGGTGATGGGCTGCTGCTGCTTTGAAGTCCATGTTGCTGGTCGGAGGCTGATGAATTCCAGTGAGCACATTTCCATTCCACTTTCATCTTTCCACCGGTCAAATTGAATTTTTAGAACAGCAAAGATTTTACAAATGATGGTTTCCGTTCGGCGGTGGTGGCGGCGGCAGCAGTGGTGGGGTGGGTACCTTCAGCCAGGCGGAGGATAAAACGTCCAACACAATGAGTACTTAATTGATGCCATTATCATATGAACAGCATCAAAACAAAGAATTCAGTTAGACTTTGGGTGACATTTCGACATCCATAGTGGAGCTCGCGCTTAGCTGCAGCTTGATTTATGCTGTCGGTCTGCCATAACTGCTCAGCCATTACAGGTATTAAGGCTGTGTGCTCTCACAAAGAAACATGTCGCTTTGTTTTCCCCCCGGGAGCCAGCTTTTATTATCTGATAAATAGAGACATGCTGGAACATGATGCTTATCTACAGACTGTTGTAATGCTGTGATGTGTGCCAGAGATAGGCCATTCATTTCAGCTAATGGATGTCTAATTCAAGTCCTTTAATGGGATGTCAAAGATTTCTGACACATGCATTTGGACATATTGAAATTTGTACGTGCTGATAGTGAACACTCTGGTCAAAGGATGTAGATAAATCCAAGTGATAAGTATCTTTTTATAAGACTTTGAATTTTCTCAGGCTTTACAATTGCAGTGCACATAAAATTGCAGTTTGAATCAGACTAAAGAAAAAGACCAATACTTCTCTGAATGGAGTCCATGCTGCTCTGTTGCCCCCCTGTGGAGGCTTCAACGACCTACATACCAGCACACTCCTGAAATGTCTGTATTCACATTTTCAACACTTCTGATTACATAACCTTTATTTAATCAGGCAATCTCTAATTAATCTTCTCATTAATGACAATTTTTTTTCTTCATCCAGATATGAAACGTCCCAAGAGCCCCGACTGGCTGGACGGCAGCCCTGCCCGCAAGAATCAGGAGGGGCAGGAGGAGGAAGAAGAGGAGGAGGAGGATGAAGAGGAGAGGAAGGTGGGGGCAGGATACAGGGCCAAACGGGAGCGACGTCAGAGCAGCGGCAGCGGCAGCAGTGCCACTATGTGCCAGGTGTGCAACATACAGCTCAACTCCAGCGCCCAGGCCCAGATCCACTACAGGGGGAAGACGCACCAGAGGCGGCTGCGCCGACTCGCAAAGGCTGTCAGCACAGGTAGGGACGCACTGACTTTATTTATTTCAATGATCTGAAACTAAACTTGAAACTTCAGTTTCAACTTTGTTTCCTTAAGTGAAAGTTTGCCTCAGACATGAACATAAAACATAGTAAATACATAAATCATACTACAAAACATGTTAAATATGTTGAAACTCACATAAGACAATGAACATCAGTGTCTGCATAACATACATGGATAAGCAGCCCAACAAACACCTGCTGCCGGTCGCTACGAGAGCAAAAAGTTTACTGTTGATTATAAGTAAAGCTGTGATTTATGAGCTGTTGATAAGAAGGGGATAGACAACATAACAGATGAAACTAGCAAAACAATCGCTCTGCAGTGAGTAAAGGAGTTAGTGAAGTTCATAATGTTCAGGTTTTGCCGAGCATGTCAGAGGGAGGTGTTCACTCAGCTCTGTGGTGGTTAGTTCTTACTGTTATGGTATCCATGAACTATCATGCTTTTAACTCTGATGATTTTTGAGGCTGTGGTTTGTCATGCTGTTTTATCCTGTGCCACAAGAGTGTTTCGTGTTAAGATGGAAACAAATAAGAATATACTCTATGTGAGCTTCAGCAGACAATCTCATTTCTTATAAGTCACTTTAATGAGGTCAGACAGTCCCAGCATGAATGTACCTTTCCCTCAGGGCGTTTCCTCACATTTTGACTCGTCAAAGGAGGGAAAACAACAGGTGTCAGTAATCAAATGAGTGATGGCTCCATTACATCCGTCACAGTGGGCCATGCCAGTGAGACATCAGGCACAACACCAGAGCCCTGGAAGTGGAGCACCTAAATGGGACAGAGCCGCCATTTATGTTATTAATTACACCTGTGTTATTCATCTGATGACAAGTTAAGTGTCTGCTGTGAAAAGGATGTAGTGATGGTGTATTACTCTCAAATCCTGACAATTTAACACTTATTACTAGAGTGGAACAACCCTCACCACTTCTGACTGAAAGACTCATAACTTAATATTTGCTTGGGCACACTACAAACTCTACAAAACACACTTTAATCACCAACTCAGAACAAAAACAGAACATTATGAGCTTCTGTTCACAAGAGGTAGAAATAGATACTACCTTGGTATACTACTCTCCTGCTTCTTGATATCAAGAAAATGTATTTTTATATATCAAATACTAGGTCTTGGCTTTTACATTGCCTTAGAAGATTTTACAACCTAATGCTACATAAAAACAGGAAAAAATAAAAGGACATCACTCCCTGTCAGAAAAGTTCTGCATTTATTCTGCAAGTACTGCAAATACAGGCTTTCCAGCAGGAGTTGTGCTGTTTTCTGGCAAAAAAAAAAAGAAGAAAAGTAAAGAAATAGTTTCAGTCTTCACTCAGCAGAGACATAACACACCTTGTTTAGTCAGATGTTTATTTATTTTGACTTGTGGCGTTTTCTCTCAGGCGTGATCTTGTAAACGTTCACATCTGCAAACCATGAGGAGGTGTTATGCATTCAGAATATATTTGCTACTCCAGAAGACAGACCCCTCGCCGTTTCCAAGCATTTTCTGCACACCTGTTCCGACGAGGGGGCCATTAATCACCCTCACTCACCGCCACCTGTGTCACTCTGCCGCGCTGACCAGTTTGATCAGTCAGCATTCAGGGAAAAAAAGAGCCTCTAATCTACAACTGGCCAATAAGATGGCACTTTTTTAATATTGATTTATGAGGCTGTCTCTCTCTGTAGGCTTACCACACATATTTAGCTGTTCCAGTCTAACTCGATGCATGAAATTAAATTAATACTATATCCAATGTTTAATTTCTCCCCTATTTCAACCTCATTTTGTTATCATCAGAAAGTTATTGACTTTTTTGTGTCAGATAATAGGCTTTGAAGATCATCATTCATACTTAAAAGTCTGAGACTGATCCAGAACAAAAGGAGAACATTGGTGTATGTGTTTGTGCATGGTCTCCATTTGTTCATATACTTTTTGGAAATCTGGGTCAGGGGTCGACTGTCTGGCTTTCTGGTGCAGAAACAGACACCTGTGAGAATGTCACTCCCTCTCTAGCAAGAAATTAGTCTATATTAGAGGATGCACATGTCTGAAATCAACCCCCCCCATCCACTCCAATTCACACGTCTGAGCCGCCACTGATTGCATGACTGCACGTCTTCAACCTTACACATTAAACACAACTTACTGCTATATGCACTCATCGGTTTAAGAGGGTGTGTGTTTGCACTTTTGTACTTTTGTCCCTGTGGGAACATGTTTTAAACCTGCAAAGTAAGGATAAATTTGCAAAGCAATTTCATTTAGTCTTCCTTCTTTTTTCTTTTTTTTCTTTTGTGACATTTTCTGATTTAAAACTCATATGTGTTTTTTAGAGAAAACATTATTACATGTAAAAGCAGGAAAAGCGCAGGTGTAAATAATAAGATAAGTGATGGCTGAATCCCACTTAGCTGCTTCAGTTTCAGGGTCCTGGTGCTGTGCATGCTGGCTCACTGTCACACTGTCAAGGCTTTCAACTGAAACAGAGCCATTGTTAATGTTACTATTAAACCTTTGTTTTTCCTGCTATTACAAGTAGAAATGTCTGCTGTGAAAAACACCCATTGAGTTCGAAGGTTAAAATTTGAGAATGCCTTTTTTTAATAAAGCAGAGATTTTGGCTTGTCATAGCAGGAAAAGCACAGGTGTAATTCATAATTGATTACTGGGACACCTGTTGGTACTAAGCAATTGTTACTAAAATTTGTTTCACTCGTGTATTTCCTTCTATGACAAATCAAAATGTCACCTTAAAAATAGTACTGTTGAGTTTAATGTTAATATCAGAAAGCGAACTTTAATATTAAGCCTGAAACAATTAATCAAATAGTTGATGGCACTTTGTCAAAAACTTCAGATTTAAGTCATTTAAAAATACATTTTTTATGGTTATTCCTGGTTCTAGGAACTCTAATATGGACTAATACTTTTCTTCTTTTCTGTTTGCTGTCACTGTAAATCTAACATCTAATATTTTTGGGTCTTGGTCTGTTGGACAAACAACATTTTATTGACTGAATAGTTAACCATATAAACCAAAATAATCTGTGAATTATTTACATTATTAATCGAAAGTAATCGTTAGTTGTTGCCCTAGTTAATATTACATTTTGTAACTGGGACATACTGTACTGTATATTTGTTGACCTCTGTGTGTACTACTAATTGTCTCGGTATATAGTAGTTTTTGCAGTTAGTACAAAATATAATATTGATATACTTAAAGTACCTGGAGCCAAAGTTGACAAATGGAAATCAAAATGGGTTTAATTACTATTTGTTTTGTTCCATTTTTTGTTTTTGTTTGTTTGTTTGTTTGTTTGTTTTATCTGTGAGTAGCTACTCCACTTTCTTTGTGCGATACACCGTGGGGAAAACAGTGTTCATCAGGTTTTTATTGTGCATACGTATGTAGTGTGTATGTAGCTGACAGGAGATTTTTGCAATGTGTAAAACGACATCAGTGTCTTACAGTGCCATGACAAACTGAGAAAGTGTGTATGGTTTTTTTGAATGTGACCTCCATTTTGCTCCAGTTTGCTGGCAAGACAGCAGGGAGCAGTTTGTTCTCTCAGATGAAATGCTGCCCTTACTGACACATCTCTCTAAAACAAGAGTCAGATTGTGTTGGAAATTCTTCCACACTGTAATGTTGATATACAGCATTTAGACACCTGTAATTAACACCACTGCAACTGTTTTAAAATGTATTTGTTGCACAAAAAGTTGTTTATTGTGCATCATTTTTCATAATGTACACTTCCCAAGATTAGACGTGTACGTCAACAACATCAGCACTGACAGAGTTTAAACACCTCCTGCGGGCCACAATGTCAGAGCCATCTCGTCCACTAATTGATAGTTGGGATGAGACTCAGTCATGGGCAGCTTGTGTCGGTCCCTCGGGGTGAAGAGCCTCTCGTTTCCCCACACAGGGCACAGAGTGATTTCACACCTGCCATGTTAGAACTGGTTAAATGAACCCTACAGGATTTGACCCCTTTTGTTTGGGTTGTTGTGAAATTGACAATACTGCAGCCAAATTGAGCAGCACAGCAAACAACTGCCTGGCCCTAAAATTAGCCATGAAATGGTTTATTTGAAGAAAAACTCCGACTAGACCTCAGACAGGAAAATAATTGTACTTTTGAAGACACACTGTCAGTAATCCCGTCATATTAAGGGCTCCAAATAATTATTTTTTCATCAGTAAGTAAGTGATGTTCTTCGTTCTATAAAATAATGAAAATAATGAGAAATGTCTATGAAAATAGTCCAGAAATCCAAAAGGATATCTTCAAATGTCCTGTGTTGTTCAGTTTAATATCGCGTAAGACAAAAAAGTTTGATAAAGAGTAATCAACTATCAAAATAGTGGCAGGGTAATATTCTGTTGATTAATTAGTTGATTAACAAATTAGTTATTTACATCAGAATAACTGTATTTTGTAGTATAATATTAATACAGTCTAAGAAGTCATATGTATGATTAATCACTCACATTAAACGGTATCGGAAATAATCATCTATAAGACTTAAATCTAATTGTGGAAAAACCAAGGAAAAAACACTGTGGTTAAGTAAACTGTAGTGATCATTTTGTAAAAATGACTCATCACAGGATTCAACTGGTAGAAAATAGCAGCCACATATATCTTCGGTTAAACCTTGTAAACAAATAGGAAGGAAAGTTCCTACATAAAAATCCACCCAAATGCCAGGTTTTATACAGTGTCTCAAACAGTTTTCTCCCTGTTTCCTATTTCACAGTAGAAAGGAGAAAAGGAGGACGGGCCAAGTCAATTAAGGTGACTGTTGGTATAAGGCAGACTGTGCTGCGATGAAACCAGCCTAATAATACCCATTCCCTTCCCACAGCTGAACTAACATTCCCTTTATTTAGCTTCATGAAGTGATTGCTCAAATGAAAATAGGGTGGGGTGGTTCTCGCTGGGG